TTGGAAGAGACTTATGGATATAAAGGTTTATACTGAAAAGCTCATTTTATGGCAAATTGGCTCAGGTTTGGTGTCCTTCTAGTGGGATAATTGTACCGGCAGTGGATCACTACCATGCTCACTCATTACTATAATGTATCCAAAAATATTCTTGTGAACAGTTACATCAATGAAGGGGCCTGGAATATTACAAAGCTTAGAGACATCCTTCCAAACAATATTGTAAATGATATCCTCAAAATTGAAATTCATTATAGAAAAGAGGACTGGCCAGTCTGGACAGTTGATACTTTTGGAGTCTTTTCTTGCAAATATATTTGGCAACATTTGAGAAATCATAAGAACTGCTGCTTCACTGCTAGCATGAACTGGCCCAAAAAACTTCCTTTTAAAATATCGTTCTTCATGATCAGGATGCTCCGAAATAGAACTCCTACAGATGATGTTTCTCAGAAATTTACTATGATGATTCCATCTCAATGCTCATGTTGTGCTAATCATAAGGCAGAAATCATTACACATTTATTTTGTGAAAGCTAGATTTCAAAGAACGTTTGGTCATTCTTTAGTCAAAGTTGTGGTATTGTCACGACCCGGATTCCCAACCCTCGGGATTCGTGATGGCGCCTACTAACATGAGCTAGGCAAGTCAATCCTTTAACTACTTACTTCATTATCCAATTATTTCTTTTTGACAAATATAAGGCGATAACGTGATAACAGCAGAAAAAAATCCAAATTTAAGTGGAAGACAACAATAACATATATGAAATCAAAATCTATTACAAATACTTAAGCCTTAACCACCCAAAACCTTGTGTCAAGACGGTCTAAGATTGCTACATACAAGTCTGAAGAAATAACAGTACACTGTTTCTAAATAAAAGGAAAATAAAACAGAAAATAGGGATGGAGGGAGATGCCAGGGCATGCGGACGCCTGCAGGTCTACCTTGGATCTCCGCGTGGACTGAAGGTAGCCTCCAACTATGCTCCAAGAGCTACTCCGGGATCTGCACATAGTGCAGAGTGTAGTATCAGCACAACCGACCCCATGTGCTGGTAAGTGTCTAGCCTAAACTCGGCGAAGTAGTGACGAGGCTAGGACCAGACTACCAAATAAACCTATGCAGTTTAAATATATACAGCGGAAACAAAATACAGAAATAACCAGTTAAGTATGGGAGGGGGAGCACGCTGTGGGGGAGATAACAATTCCGAATAGAAAGACATCAAGTAAACGAAAGAAACAATATAACTCGGATATCAACAAATAATCAGAAATCAATAAATGCATGGCATCACCCTTCGTGCTTTTACTCTCGTCTTTACCAAAGCAATCATATAATAAAAATGTGCACGGCATCACCCTTCGTACTTTTACTCTCTTTCCTCACCATATAATCAATATAATCGGCACGGGATGGTACATCGTGCGGCACGGCATCACGCTTCGTGCTTTACACTCTTTCCTCTCAATCATACACGGCATCACCCTTCGTGCTTTACACTCTTTCCTCACAAAACAAACAATGCACGGCATCACCCTTCGTGCTTTAACTCTCTTCCTCACCCAAACAATAATCACAAACAATCCAAAGTTTTGCCCAAAAAGTCAAATATAATTTGTTTTGAAATCGGACCTCAAATCAAGGTCCAACTCCCCAATTTTTGAAAAACCTAGGTTCTACCCAAAACACCCAATTTCCCCCATGAAAATCATTGATTTTGAGTTGAAATCATGTTAAAAGATGTTAATGATTGAAGAAAATGAGTTAAAATCAACTTACAATCGAGTTGGAGGAAGAGTTGTTCTTGGAAAATCGCCCTAAGGAGTTTGTGTTTTGAAAAGATGTGAAAAATGGGTTTAAAATCGTCTAAGTATAAAAGTTGCATGCCTCAGATATGGGAATTGCAAACAGGGGTTCGCAATTGCGAACCCCGACCTCTGCTGGGTTGGGAAATGCGAAGGGAGACTCGCATTTCCGAGCTGGGAATTACGAAGAAAGGGCCGCATTTGCGACCAACAGGGGAATTTCGCATTTGCGTTCGAAGCCTCGCATTTGCGAGCAAGACAGGTCTGGGATGGTTTCGTATTTGCGATCCGGCCTTCGCATTTGCGAGTCAGGTTCGCTCAGAATTATTTCCCGTAACTTTATGGTTTTGTCGGATTTTCGTATTTCCAGCAACCTTCATACTTATGTTCTTTGATTTTTATGATTGAGTCTCATCTTTGGCATATTTAGATTGGGTTTAATTTCACTATCCTCAACTATTGCATCATATTCTGTTTGTTTGCCAATGATTTTAATGGTCATTTGCTGCTGCATTTTGAAAGGAAAAAAATGGCCAGGGGTCATCGGGGAAGATGACAAACGGATGGGGTTAATGTAAAATACGCGTGTTTTTGTCTTATTCGTCAACCTGGCGTGTGAATTATACGCTCCCTTTTGTGTTTGGTTGCCTAAGAATTTTGTGTTCAAATGACACATTTAAGCTGTGCTTGGAGTGTTCAAATGGAACGGGCTTAAGATAGAGTGTCTAAGTAAAAAGGACGGACAATTTTAAGGGGTTGTCAATGTATTTGGCCTTTATAATAGTACTCATAATAATAATATTTTTAGGGTTTTGTAAAATAATATGTAAAAAGAGTAATTAATGATAAGGATAAAACATGAAAAAATATATGATCTTCTCCTAATTTGCTTAAATTAAGAAGTAAAAGCAAAATATATTTTTAGTATATTGGACGAGTAAAAGTAAATGGAGTGAGTATATACGAACTCGGCGTTTGAAAATTTTGCGAAAAGATAACTTTTTAGGATGTTCAAACTTAGTTTTTCAAATCTTTCAAAATTGGAAAACTAGTTTTTAGAGTTTTTGAAAAATTTAGAAACCTATTTTGAAATCAAATTTTAAAAATTAACCTTCTTAAGAAAAAAGTCTAGTCAACGCTTATTGCGAAATCACAAAACTGAGTCATAATCTCCTAAACTTTATTTAAGCAAATGCCATCTCCTATCATTTGGGGAAAAAAATACAAAATTTTCAAGTTTTGAAAGATAATACTAATAACGCTAGAACAAAGCGTTATTATTCTGTATGCAAACATTAGATATCAAGAATACATGTATACGAGATAAGTATAAAATGCAAATATAATCAAATAAACCATGCACATGCAGTAAGTGAATATAAAAAGGAGAACAACAGATAGTGCGTAAAGTGCACATCAACTTTACAATGCAAAAATAGTTCAAAAAATAGCAAGAAGTGTGAGCAAAACAACAGAAACCAATTGGACCAAAAATGGAAAAAACTTGAAGAAAAAGCTCTTCTATCAATATAACCATCTTTATTCTTTTCCCAATCTTCTTTTGTTATTTCAATGAAAAAGGGGATAAGAACCCCAGACAGAGAGACAAACCAAAGTACTGTTTACAATCAGAGAGAATAGTTAAAGTGTTGAGATGAGGTGAATATTTGAAAGAAAGCTTTCATTTCATCAAATTGGATAAAAGCAAATGCATTCAGAGAAAATCAGAAAGGTACCCTACCCCCTTCTATTTCCAACCCCAACATATCACTTATATCAATGTATGTATCTACTCTGTACTAAAAAGACCTGCCTTGTGGCATTACCCTAGCCACAGCTTTTTTTTCCAAAGTAGAGTTTTTTTTTCCTAATTTCAATTTTATTCCAACCACAAACCAACAATTCTCCCCCCCCCCTCCAAGCAGAGTCCTTTTCCTACATTCAATTTTATTCCAACCACAAACCAAGCTCCTACAGTCTGATGCAATTTAGATGCAAAATAGGGAAAGGATTTCAATTTAGATGAGTTAGTTTAATTCAACACGAAATTTAAAGAAAAAATATTAAAAATTTATAATCATAAAAGCTTAAGAGGTAAAAAATTTATGGGATCATGATATTTGCATAGTTATAAAAAAAATTTATTAAAAGTAAAATGGCTATAATGAAGAATTTAAAAGTTAAATTATTTTTAAATTTAAAAATATAACATTTATTTTGAAACAGACTAAAAAATAATATTTCATCTAGTTTGAAACAAGGGAGTATAATGTAAACAGTCTATTCTAATACAAGTATTATCGGTTACTTTCACAGCTCAAAATTACATGAAAGATAACTTTATTGTTGCTATGAAATTTCCCTTTCTTTCCGACCACAAACCAAAAACCAAAAACCCAACCAAGTAGTAGTTAAGGCTTAGCTCAGCTTAGGCAATAAATTCAGAAGAATCCAACGAGAAGTGAAGGGAAAAGTCCAGCATCAATCTTTAATTCCACTTGCTGCTACTGCTGCAGAAACTATAAAGCAAATGCCAGAAAATGAAAAGAAAAACAAATATCATCCCTTCGTCATCAAATGTCAGCAACACTGCAGGCATGACCATCTTCCCAAACTTCTAAGCAACTCCATCCCAACTTGCTCCCACTTAACTCTTTGGTGGCTTTTCAAGCTTTCAGCTTTTTATTTTTAAGCTTTATGTTTTTCATTCTTAGGAGTAATTTTTTTACACTATCAAATTAACCTACAATAAAATGTAACTTTTACTACGGCAACAACAAATTTAATAAATTTTTACAAGTGGAGTAGGAGGATGAGATATACGTAATCTTAGCTTGAAGGACAGATAAAAGTGAGGTAGGAGGATGAAATATACGCAGCGTTACTTCAACCCTAGAGGCAGCGTTACTTCAACCCTAGAGGACAGATAGGTTACCCTAGAGGACAGATAGGTTGTATTCGAAAGAAACTCGACTAAAGAAAAGATCCAAACAAAAAAAATACATAGCTCTACTATTGAATTAAAACGATAACCTAATAGCTTCCATAAGCCGATTAAATAGAAAATGTGAAAATCATCAATGCATATGACTTAAATCCCCTTCCGTATATAAAACCATAACTCAATCGTAAATTCCAAAAAAATGACCATGATTATTAGCCAAATGCTAAACAATGTTTGAAGGTAAAAGAAATCAATAAAACATGAAATATCAGTGCAAAAGTTCATTGCTAATGTCAACAAGATAACTAGTAGCAAAACATTTTCTTTTCACCTACAAATAAACAACAAAAAAGTGCTAAGCCAGTACATTTTTAACTAACATAAAAGTACAAAATCTAAAGTCAACTAAATAAACTAAACAAAGCCAAAAACAAGAAAATCCAAAATCAAAAGTAGCGTTAGTGAAACAAATACAAAAGATACCACACATTCCAAGAACATGAACAAAACGTATCTTCAATAAGGTGGTGGAGGAGGTGGTGGTTGTCTAGCCGTAGGTGCCCAAATCACATCCGACGGCAAATGACAACTATACATAGACATCCCACAAGATTCCGGCGCCGTCGTTTGCGGTGGATGTCCACTGTCTCCGCCTCCTACGGAAACCGCCGGCTGCGGTGGCGATTGATGGCCACTACCCTCATTTCCACCACCACCACCAGAATTCCTAGCTAATTCCTCCTCAACAGGCAACTTATGAAAAGTTGGGCTGTTAAAAGTTGCAGCAACTAAGTACACAGTTCCTGCTGTTAAAAGTGGCCCAACTACACCCCCACCCACCACTTGACCTTGTGGACCCGCCAATGAAATCGTAAACCCATTTGCTATTCCATTGTTATTTGATGGAACACTTGCATTTGGTTGAACAATTGTTGCTGAAATTGAGAGTATATCAAATCTACCATGAAAAGTTACAGTTGAAACTGGCGTTGTTGAAGGCTGCCTTAGAGTAACATTTGTAATAGTACCTGAACATTGAAAATATAAAGACGCCATATTCAAGGGATTTTAGTCCAAATTCAAAGTAAAGTAAGAGCACTCAGTGACTAGTTATATTAAATGTAAGTACCTGAACCGTTGAGAACACAGAGACCCATATTCCGTTTTCTGCAAAATTTTGTGATAGAGTTGATTATGTCAACACCGATTGGAATTTCCAGAATATAAGGGCTCATAGAGGGTTCAGCATCACGTGTAATGATGACCGGGGGTTTAGGTCTGTTCTTGGAACCGGGAGGACGGCCACGTGGACGGCGGACAACTTCGATGGTAGCACCGTCGGAGGAAGGCGGTGGTGGCGGAGGAGGCGGAGGAGCTACGGCGGAAACAGGCTGTGGGGTTAAAGCGTCGTTTTTATCCGCCGTAGTACTGTCGGCTTCTTCAGAATTTTGGCATTCACGAGAGATTTGAAAAGAAGGGTGGTGAAAATGGTGGTGAGAAGGATTTTGCTGAAAGTTTTGAGGATGATGAAGTTTACCAAACATACTGTTTCTACTACTATTACTAGAATGATCTTTCTTTTCTTCTAGTTGTACATATTCTCCTTTCATTTTCTATTTGAAAAAACTCTATATATTTTTATAAATAACTACTACTCAGTAATAATGAATAAGATAGTGTGGGAGTAGGATGATTGGATTTGTAGGTATGGGCATCCAATAATAAAAGAAACCCCAGCAGTGTCCAATTTATGAACAGATAAGGGAAAAGATAGAGATAAATGAAAGAGAAATGGGGTTTTGGAATTTTCCTTCAAAGGGTAATAATAAATGAATATAATAGTAGTAGAACTGATAGAAGAAGTAGAGAGTGATGGGTGGGGGTGGGGTGAGGGTGGGTGAGCTTGGAAACTAAGTAAAGACTAATGGCGCCGCTGGTTGAAGGCAAAGTGTAGGCTCCACGTGGTATTTTGTTTTTACTTAAGAGAGGGCTAAATATGAATAGTAGAGAGAGTTTAGTTTAGCTCAAACTTCTACTCACCGCCATCCTTTTCAAAATTTCCTTTCTTCAACTATGAAATTACACAACAAAAATTATGGCGGAATAATAGTTACCCATTATCTTTGATTGAGTCTTGGATATAAAGTAATTTTGTTAAGGACAATTTTACTCTCAAGATGAAAAAATTCAATGAGAATCGAAATTAATCGAGCCCGAATATAGATAATGAATATCAAATGTAAGCCAAGAACTAAAACACAAAAATCACTATAAAAATTGAAATTAGCTATGAACTTTATAGCTAATTTGTTGTTAAAATGCTCGTAACTGACATATTTTTCAATAATATATCGCTAATCCACCGCTACATAGATAGTGACAGATTTATCTGTTTAGCTATAGAATTTGACTGTCGCTAATTTGTATTTTTAGTAGTTAATAGAGAAAAGAGATTTAGGTCGAGGCGAATTATTTAAATATGATGAATTCCACATTTAAGATTCTTATCATTGTTACCTTTTAGATATCGAATTCAATTTTTTGATATTTATTAAAATATTATTGTGATTACTTTTCAATATTTATATTTATTTTTATGTTGAAAATATTGAGTTCAATTAATTAAAATCGGAGTTCAAAGACTTACGGGGTTTAGGTGTCATGTATAACAGTACTTATGACCAATACACACACACACACACACATATATATATAAAACAGTACAAACCCTCGTTAATATTCTCCTCTTCTTTCCCTAATACCGCACAAAACCCCAATGTTTAGGTGTCTCTTGTATTGGTCAAAATCTGACCGTCACGATCGAGTTGACCAACGGCCTGTCTAATTAACTGTGTAGTGAAAGTCAATAGATCCCACTCTATTTCTCTTCTCTGACATCCGACGAGTCGGTAAGAGTGGTGCCTAAAATCATGACCAAAACACATTGGTGGCAAGAGGATGTCAAGTCAAGCAAAGGGCAAAGGTGCCTTGATTATATGTTGCCAAGGAAAGCTTTCAACAGGGGGCTGCTCCTCCTACCTCTCTAAAAAGAATGAAAAGCTCTCTTCGAGAATTCTGGAGACAGAAGAAATGGCCTCTAGAAAAATGTGTAAACCTACTTCCTCATCGATTGATGAGAGATACAACTTATAATATTAATAAGATCATTTATATTTCTTTCATCCCATGTGTAATCCTTATTCTTAGCTTCTCGATCTGGAATTAATTATGTCTGACTAAGATTTATCCATTCATCTTTGATTGATTTGCTCAAAAAGATTTTAATATCTTTTAAGTCAAACAATTTGGCGCCGTCTGTGGGGATTTCTTAGTAAAATTTCCTAATTTATCCCAGATCGAAGCCAAGAAACACAATGACCCACCAAAAGAAGTGCGAAGGGAAAATCCAACCCACACGAGACACGGGAAAATCCTTGCCCCATCAACCATCGATATACCAAACAAGGCACACGGTGTTACCAACCTGTTCTCCCCCACCGGAACACCGGACGGGAGCGAGGAAAATATCATGCTCACCTACTTCTTGTCGGCGATATCTCCGGGCGGGATGGCAGGAGTCAGACAAGAAGACTATAATGCGTACACAACGCAAACCTAAGCGAAATGTCAACGTCTCATATTCACCAACACTGCACCTCCTGATGAAAGCAATATCAAACGGATTGGGATTCCTACGGGAGATGCCCGACTCTCCAAAAACTCGAACGACGACTGGCGGTTATTTCGATAAGTTCGAAATAACACTCTTTAAGGCCAAGGGCCTTCGCCAACAAAGAAGGGTTCGACCTCGATCGAACGACGACGGGCTGTTATTTCGATAAGTTCGAAGTAACACCATTTAAGGCCAAAGGCCTTTGCCAAAAAAAGAAATGGATTCGACCTCAATCGAACGACGACGGGCTGTTATTTCGATAAGTTCGAAATAACACCCTTTAAGGCCAAGGGCCTTCGCCAACAAAGAGAAGGGTTTAGCCTCGATCGAAAGACAATGGGCTGTTATTTCGATAAGTTCGAAATAACACCCTTTAAGGCCAAGGGCCTTCGCCAACAAAGAAGGGTTCGACCTCGATCGAACGACGACGAGCTGTTATTTCGATAAGTTCGAAGTAACACCATTTAAGGCCAAGGGCCTTTGCCAAAAAAGAAAAGGGTTCGACCTCAATCGAACGACGATGGGATGTTATTTCGATAAGTTCGAAATAACACCCTTTAAGGCCAAGGGCCTTTACCAACAAAGAGAAGGGTTCGACCACGATCGAACGACGACGGATTGTTATTTCGATAAGTTCGAAATAACACCCTTTAAGGCCAAGGACCTTCACCAACAAAGAAGGGTTCGACCTCAATCGAACGATGACGGGCTGTTATTTTGATAAGTTCGAAGTAACACCCTTTAAGGCCAAGGGCCTTTGCCAAAAAAGAAAAGGGTTAGACCTCGATCGAACGACGACAATTTGTTATTTCGACAAGTTCGAAATAATACCCTTTAAGGCCAAGGGCCTTCGCCAAGAAAGAGAAGGGTTCGACCTAGATCGAAAGACGATGGGCTGCTATTTCGATGAGTTTGAAATAACACCCTTTAAGGACAACGGCCTTCGGCAAAAAAGAAAAGGGTTTGACCTTGATTGAATGACGACGGGCTGTTATTTCGATAAGTTCGAAGTAACACCCTTTAAGGCCAAGGGCCTTTGCCAAAAAAGAAAAGGGTTCAACCTTAATCGAAAGACGACGGGCTGCTATTTCGATGAGTTTGAAATAACACCCTTTAAGGCCAAGGGCCTTCGCCAACAAAGAGAAAGGTTTGACCTCGATCGAACGACGACGGGCTGTTATTTCGATAAGTTTGAAATAACACTATTTAAGGCCAAGGGCCTTCGCCACAAAAGAAAAGGGTCCAACCTTGATCGAATGTTGACGAGCTGTTATTTCGACAAGTTCGAAATGACACCCTTCAAGGCCAGTGTCCTTCACCAAAAAAGAGAAGGGTTCAACCTCGATCAAAAGACGATGGGCTGCTATTTCGATAAGTTCGAAATAACACCCTTTAAGGCCAAGGGCCTTTGCCAAAAAAAAAAATAGAGGAGTTCGACCTCGATCGAGCAACGACGGGCTATTATTTTGATAAGTTCAAAATGACATACTTTAGGGCCAAGGGCCTTCGCCAAAAGGAGAAGACATCGACCTCAATCGAAATACTCCTAAGGCCGAAGACCATTGGAAAGAAAGAAAATCGGGACTCGCTATACAGGCGTCTATCTTGCACCAAAGCCATAAACAGTTGAAATAAAGGTGAAGTACAAGACAAATAACGAAGAAAAACAAAAATCTCCTTTATACAAAGTCACAATTCGGGCTATCACCGCTTACATATGGCCCAAGCCAACCTAAAAAAAAATGAACGAACGACAATCGACAAACAATTGAAAATAAAAACAGACAAGGACAACGTTCTTCATTCGGCGTCATCATTGCCATCACCAGCACCATCACCATCATTGTCTCTAAGAGGCTCTCCATTACCGTCATCCGCATCCCTATTAGCTTCGGGTGTCGCCACGTTATATCCACAGTTGATGTGAACCTCCCATGCTTTCACTCACACTTCTTCATAAGCAGCCTCAACTAGGATACCCGCCTCCCACAAAATCTTATATATGTCCCGCTGAGCTTCGGCATAAATCCAAAGCTCGTGCATATGGCGGGGGACGGCCGCGGAGGAGGACTCAACCTGAGCCAACAATCGCTCATTTTCTGCCTCCAGAGCCATGACCCGGTCTCCCAAAATCGATGCCTCTTGATCAATCACGCCGATACACTCATCGAGCCTCGCCTCGCTGAGGGTAGCTATCGCTCTCTCCGACTCCTGTTCGGATTGGAGGACGCGGATGGTGTTCTCCAGGGCCGTCGCCCTCGCCAAAGCCTCAGACCAGGCACTCTCAATGCTCTCCAACCCAGCGACTTTACTTTCCAGTGCAGTCAATTTTCTCATCCACTATACACTCATCGCCTCGACCTTGACCAAGTTCTGATCCATCTCTGACTGCATCGACCTCAACCTACCCTGTAGATGCTCACATTCTGCGGCGACTCCCTTACCTAACTCGAGCTCCTTGTCCTTAGTTCGAAGTTGCTCCTCAAGTGCGCTCTTGTTGTGGATAGTTTGCATCAATTCCTGGTCCCTTTTTTCTAACTCCTCACCAAGAGCCCGATTACGGGGATCCATCCTCAGCCGCTCATGCATCTCGCGACATCTGTCGTGGTAGCGACGATACTTCTTCAGCATCTTCAAGAAAATTTTTGCTCGAGTGTTGGCCCTATGAATGCTTTCCACTTCCATCATATATGTCTGAAAAACGCAAAGACGGGGTTAGGCTAGTACTTCCGAGAAGGGAGAAAAAAGAAAGCGAAAGTAAAATGCAATGTACCCTTAAGCCTATGGCAGCCACCTCGTCTATCAAATCAGCATCAAGAACAGACCGGAGGGACTCATTCTTGGCCTCGGAGCATAACAGGCTGAATTGCGACACCAGATCCTCCCCTTCCCCTAAGAGATTGACGCCGGAAGGGATTTGAAGAATACGGGCCGAGCCCCCACATTAACCACTGAACGAGTAAGGCCCTCCTCAAACATCCTGACATCATCAGGGTCCAGGTCTGACTCAGATTCATAGTCACCAACCACCACGCCTTTTCCCCTTTATGTTG